GGACCTCTGCTGATAAGAGTAACAAAAGCTAAACACTAGCTAACAGGGATTCTCCTTTTCCTAGATGATGCAGGCCTTTCTGAGTGATAAAATGCAGTAACATCAGCATTGTGTCCTAGTTAAAAATAGGGAGCTTTAGGTCCACGTTAGGACTTCTGTTGACCAACTGTTGACATCTTGAACCAAACACGTAAGCATCTAAGGCTCAGATTCCTTACTTAAAGAGCCGAGATCAAAATACTTAGCAATAATACTGTGTATATAATGCTCTAAATACTGTTTGTAAAGGTCCATGCTCCTCTTGCCTCAGGTTCCTTGTCCAGCCAATGACATATTAGACGTATTTCAGTGCTTCAAATCCCTTATCTCTTACCTTTGGGGACGCATGTTCTCCTGTTCCCAGCACGTTCACACCTTGTGGCGCAAGTCAAGCAGGTATTAAGATTTCCATGTTATAGATGAAAGGACTCCACAGAGATGGCGAGAGCCCTGTTCCAAGTCGCAGGGCTACTTAGAGAGAGCAAGAGCCAACCCCTGGCTGCAGACTGCTCTCCTGCTCCACACTCCTTCCTGATAGCCCTGCATTAAACCCCTTCCTTCCTGCCCTGCCTTGGACTGTTCAGACTTCCGCTATCACATCAGCTTGAAGACGGGGGACGTCCCTGAGGCGAGCACAGATTCCCAAGTCTACATCAAGCTCTATGGGGACAAATCCGACACCATCAAGCAAGACCTTCTTGCCTCCGACAACAACCTGAAAAAACGTTTTGAATGTAACCAGGTGGACGAGTTCACCATCGAGACCCTGAACATTGGAACTGTAAGTCTCCTTTCCGGGACCATACAACATCATCTCACCCATTCCCCTGCAGATAGCTACACATGAGAATACACACACACACACACACACACACACACACACACACACACACACACACACGGAGGAACCCATTTTGAAGGGAATAAAAGTACCTACTTGGGGGTTGGTGAGGTACATTGTTTTCCAGCTATGACCTAGAGCTGCAGAAGATATGTGAACAGTGGTTAAGCTTCCGGAGTCTCTTTGGGGATGGAATGCATATTTTTAGTCGCTGTAGTCCCAACATTTTCTTTACCTCCATACCCAGGACCAATGTACCTGGGTCTCAGA